AGGGAGCCCGATGCGGGACTCGATCCAGGGACTCCAGGATCATGACCTGAGCCGAAGGCAGTCGCTTAACCAACTGAGCCACCCAGGTGCCCTGGCTTTGTCTTTAATACTTAGAAATAACCAGGGATCTTTTGCCTTTTCTTTCATTGTAAATTATATTGTTTGGGGCTTCTGGCTAAAAAGTAGAAGTTGAGCGAAAAACATTTATCTAGCCAATAAAAAAAAATCTACACAATGAGGTGAGGAGATATAAAGGCTGATATACCCAACTCCAGGGATTGTTGACAGAAGGTTTTTACCTAAACATTTTATTCTAAATAAAAAAAAGGTTATTCAAATGCCTTGAAGTGAAACAGGTTTTGTGAGCTTCTGGATAAAATTTCAGGTGGCTTTCCAACACTCCAATAAAGTGGACATTTTTTGAGTGTCTGTTATGTGCAAGATCCCATGGGAGATAGAAGGCAGAATAAGTTATGCTACCTGCCTTCAAGAAGTTTATAACTCTATTGTAAAGAAAGTGTGCACATGGATAGAACACAGGCAGGTTAAACCTAGTGGATTATGTACACATGTTTATCTTGTACCATCCTGAAATACTACTACAATGAGAGTAAAAAAAACTAAAGAAGCATGAACTGATAGGCATACCAGAATGGGAGAGGATACAACAATAGAGCAAGCCATTTTTAGAAGATAGGAATGAATGAAAGAATTGGCAGAGGTAGAAAACTGATTCTAAGTGTCTACAGAGGGTAATGGCAATGAGTAGTCAAATTTTGCCACAGGACCCCAGAAAATCTCAGAAATTAAAGATATTTGGTATCACTGAAGACAGAAATAAAGCATGGCATTTAAAACAGGGGAAATTCTTGGAAATTGCTGTAACAAGATGCTAGAATTCCCTGGTCCTCCTTCCCTTGCCAATGTTAACAGAAAGCAGAGGTTTTATTTTTTTAAAAAAAATCGAACTGGAGAGTCTCATGTGAATGGTGGGAGGAAAGATACTATATGGAAAAGTGGATGACCAAGTGAAAGTCTTTATGCTGAGTGGTTAAGCCTCCCTGACCTCTATGAGCTATTTGGCTGAAAGAAGCAGCTCATAGGCAGGAGGGTGGAAAATTTTCTCTGGAGGTTCTGAACTATCATAGAGTGTCTGTATCTGTCTACAGAGACTGATCTAAATCACTCATCCAAAGGGCTATGTCTCTAGCCAGCGCGGAAACCTACCAAATGACAAATTCCACCTTACATAGTTTCTAAACAACTTTTTAGTGTTTCACTCCTTTTTTTTCTTTTTTTAAGATTTTTTTTTTTTTTTTTATTTATTCATTTGACAGAGATAGACACAGCGAGAGAGGGAACACAAGCAGGGGGAGTGGGAGAGGGAGAAGCAGGCCTCC